AAATAAAAGCTGAGGATTTTTCCCCACAGTGATGCCTCTTGTACATCTTATCTTTTGGGAAACACCCACCTGTGTTTAAAAAAAACAAAACAAACTTGGTTGAATAAAAGTAACTAAGTCAAAATTTGCCACCGGCAGGAATAATTATGGGCTTCACTGTATATTTGAAGTCTTCCACTTGCAACACCACCTGCCTTTTATTTTGAAAGTCATCCCACTGCTAACAAGGAACTTGGGCAATTCCTGTTGTGCCTTTTTCTACTGTCTGACCATCTTCCTGTTCTCGTCATTAAGCCCCCCCCCCCTCAGTGCTGCCGGTCTCAGTTCAGTTATAGAGGGTCGCTCCAATCAGAAGCTACAGGAGGAGGAGGGTGGAGGTCTGATCTACAGGTGATCAGCTTCTATCCCGTTTTGTTTTGCTCCGCCTCAAGCCCCGCCATCATCCCATAACCCTCTGTGACGAACTGCTTCCCGTTTCCTTTGAAACTCGGCATGTAGCCTTCATCTCTTTCTGTACCTGGTGTGGAGGGCGTGGCAGCAGTGGAGGAGGGAGCCGAGGTGACGGGAACAGCGGCAGGGGCAGCGGGCGCCTGGGAGGAGCTCATTCTGGGAGCTCCGCCTGGAGAAGGAGTCACTGCAGCTGATTGGCTTCGAGAACTGAGGAAGAGCAGCACAGGTGAACAAAGAGGAAGACTGCAGGTGTGTGTGCGTGTGTGTCTGTCTCACCTGGATGAGGAGCTGCTGGTCACAGGTCCTCCGCCCCCCAGCAGGTTGGCGAGTCCCGGTCCAGCTAGAGCTCCCAGGCCTCCTTAGACAAAGACATCAGATCAAAAACCTGGAATAGCCCCGCCCCCAGCTGCACGTCACACCTGAGACGGCTTCACCAGCATGCTTCTGAGAGGGAGTACACCTACGTCATAACTGGAAACTCTTTTTCATACAGCGCAACCTTCCACAGACGTGCAGCCCCTGACAAACCTAACTACATATTGAGGCGCCGCGTGTGGAAGGCTGCGGCCGAGGGTTGAGTGGGATTTCCTGTTATGGCCGAAATTAGGATGAAACCAAGCTTGACCTTTAGAGGCAGAGAATAACTTCCAGGAACTGGAGCAGGTGTTCATGAACTACGTGCAGGTGTGTGTAGGTCAGAGCGCTCACCGAGACCTCCGAGCCCCGTGGGTCCCATCAGCTGCATCAGCTGGTTGTGGCTCATGTTTCCCAGCAGGTTCTGCAGGCCGCCCTCTCCTCCCAGCGCTGACAACTCGTGGCCACCGCCGCCGCTGCCGGATGCTCCGGGGATGGGAGGGTTGTTCAGGTACTCGTTGACCTTCCGGCAGTACTCGTCATCTTTGTCAGTCTTTGGCTCCTGATGGCATCAGAGCAGAGTTATTGCTACTTACAGGTTCTCGTGGCTCGCTGTAATCATGCAAGTGTGTGTGTTTTTTAATGGTGCAATGCTGTGAGGTGTCTGTGAAGGTTCTCGGTCATCCAGGTCATCGTAGTCAAAGGAGCTTGCAAAGAAAAGCGTCTGGACTTCTTTAAGTTGCTTGAAGACGTTTCACCTCTCATCCGAGAAGCTTCTTCAGTTCTAAGGTCAAATGGTGGAGAGTCCCAGATATAAACCTAGTGGGAGTTTCCCCCCACAGAGGGACAAAAGGACCCCTGATGATCCTCTAATCGCCTGAGCCAAGGTGTGAAACTGGGTGTGGGTCCCAATCAGTCAGAGTTTCAGGTGAGTTCATTGTGAAACCTGGCCCCACCTTATCATGCTGTGAGGTGTTCATGTATATGTGTGTGAGTGTGTCAGCCTTTAGTAAGCACGCTCTTTTAATATCAGATGCAGCCTGATGAAGGCGCTCTAATGCTGACATCTGCCATCACATGAACTAAGACGTTCCCCTCTAGGATGAAGACGAGCTCACCTGCATCCAGAAGAAGAGCCGCTTGGACCCGGCCTTGAATTTCAGGACATAGACACGTCCGGTGGTGCACTGTGTCACCCTTTTAAACTCACAGTCGTCAGGGAAGATGATCAGGTCCTGTAAGAGGAAACAAACAGGAGGAGACATTTAAAGGAGAGACATGGGGCTGCTCTCACACATCATCAAATGCCAACCAATCAGAGAGAGGGAGCCAGAGGCAGCAGCTCTGAGTGAAGGCGCTGAAATAACGAGAATCATGTGAATGATCGGATTTGAAATTATTTCTTTCAGGACTTTGAGCTCTGTTCAGTGAGATCAATCTGTGGGTGTGGAAGGATGAGTATGTTCCACTCAAGAACACCTCAGTTCTTTAACCTCCTAGGACCTGCGTCCACATATGTGGACATCACATTTTGGGTTATTTAGACCAAAATACTCAATTTTGCTCCACAAGGGCCTGATATCCACTTACGAGGACATTATCCTGCTACTGTTCTATCGAAATTTTAAATGAATATCCTCATATGTGGCTCTCATTTTTCTTAGAAACAAAAATTAGGTTAAAAAAATATCTGGTAATTCTTTGTTTTTACATTCATCAGGTCCCAATCAGCCCAAATATCAAAGAGAAATTAAAAATGCTGCCGTGGAAAAGTTCGAGTCTTAGGAGGTTAAACCAGCTCTACATGTGGGTAGAGGCCAGGAAGTGGTTAAGTTTCAGTGCTGACTCCGTCAGCTTTACCTGACCTCACGGAGGAATTTCTGCTTTATGGAAGCGGTGCACAGAGAAATGAGGAAATGAAGCGCCGATGTGCGCTGGCCTCTCTCAGCTCCACCCTGTAAACATCAGGAACCACAAACACTCGACTGGTTCAGGGTGACTCACATCATCTACGTTCCCCGTGGTCCGGTCCTTCCAGCAGAAGTGGATCAGAGAGTCATCGGACTGCTGGATGTAGACCAGCCCTTTCCGTTTGTCCGGGGTCACCGTGTTGCCCTTCAGGTTCATTTTACCTGCTCGAAACTCCACCAGGTACTTGCTGGAGCTTGCTCTGGAGCCGCTGACCATGCTGGGGAAGAGAGCGCCCGAAGACATCTTTGAAAGTTTTTGTTCACAAAGCCTGATGGGAAAGAAAGGAAGGAGCAGAGGGTCAAAGAACAGGATGCAGTGAGATCACTCAGAGATCTTACGTCAGCACGTTAAAGCGTTTGACGTTTATGTGTCACTAAATAAAGTCTCCGATGTCTTTAAACATGATAATAACCAACAAACTCAATAAAACTCAAGTTTAACTTGAACTGTTATTTCTGATTATTACCCTTCACTCTTACATTTCCACATTAGTTCTCATCACGTATCGATACCTTTGAATAAACAAATCAAAAGTATCCGTTCACGTCTTAAACGTAGGCTAGAGTCGCTCTGCTTTGTCCTGTGTTACTGTTTTTATGATCATATATTCTGTTGGTAAATCATCGTGTCTGCGCGTATAGCGGCTGAGGAGCACTGTGCTGATGTTTAATGAGGACTGTAATTGTTTTTTGTTATATTTGTGTCTTAAAATCACTTTTCAGAAAAGCTAAAAGTTAGCCTGCTAGCTGCCGTTAGCTGTGGCGTGCTAACGTTAGCACATGACGAGGCTAAACAGAACACCACAGTAATATTCACTGCCGTCGCTTAACTACGGTCAGTCAGACTTTAGAAACAAGAGCCAGCTGTGCATCTGATGGCTTTCCTGCAACTTTTCTGTGAAATGTGAATTTTGTTGAGCTCTCCAGCACAAATACCTGAAGTTGTGACCGCAGAATAAGTTTTCTACTTCTTCGCGTCGCTCAACGTCAAAGATGATCTACGGAGGGACTAGACTTCCGGTTAAACCCACTGTACAGAAACAGAATGCAGACCAGCCGGCGGACAGTGGAGGGCGCTCCCATAGTGACAGTATAATAATAATGCCATTTGCTGCCAAACAAAAAATGTTATTTTAGTTTTCATAAATCCAGCACAACATCTGAAACACGACTCCAAATTGGTTTGATCACATTTACGCTGATTTTGACCATAAACACAGACATCCTGTTCTGATTGGTTAGTTAAGGTTTTGCAGCAGGAGGTCCTCCAATCGATGGGTCCTGCTTTCAAACGGTAACTCCAGCAGACCACCATATTTCTGTCATTTTCTTAAGGATGTGGAATTGTACATAAAATCAATATCAGGAGGCAGCACGGCGGTTAGCACTGTTGCCGCAGAGCAAGAAGGCCCTGAGTTTAATTCCACCGGGGGCCGGGGTCTTTCTGTGTGGAGTTTGTATGTTCTATCCCTGTTTTTGCGTGGGTTCCCTCCGTGGGTACTCCGGCTTCCTCCCACCGTCCAAAGACTTGCAGTTTGTGGGGATAGGTTAATTGATTAATCAAAATTGCCCATAGGTGTGAATGTGAGAGTGTGTCTCTGTTATCCCTGCTACAGACAGGCGACCTGTCCAGGGTGTAGCCCGCCTCTCGCCCTGTGGCAGCTGGCTCCCGCGACCCTGAAAAGGATCATCGGAAGCGAATGGATGCATGGATCAATATCAGCCTCCACCAACAAAAATGCTCTCAAAACAGTATATAAAATTGAATTTTTGCGTATATTTATATAAATTTTTTTACCCCTGGTTTTGTGTGTTCACGTTCTGTTCTCTTGTATTCTTGATCTGTTTATATGTTGTATACTCATTGTTTGTTCAATAAAGTTCCTAAAAAACCTCCAGCAGACGTTAGGAGCGTAATTAAAGTGAGCAAGAAGCAGCTGGTTGTGATGTTAAAGGTGAAGTTATCAGGCGGCTGCTGCTGGCGGCTTACGGTGCTGTGAGGGCCGTAATGCTCGCATAAGGGTTTTACCACAAAATAAATATGTAAAGCATCTAAACACACAACGGAATCTACCGCCTCGACGCTTCTATCACAAACAGGGTTAACGTAAAACGTTTATCCCGGCTCCACGGAGTGCCACGAGCTCGACAGCGCCTCCTGTGGAGCAAGAAGCTCAGACAGCGGGCCGCTCCTCGTGACTTCCTGAGCGCTTGTGAGCGCGCCTGCTGTCAGCGGGAACGAGCAGGGCAGAAAGTGGGAGGGTTTGCGCGCGGCCGTTGTGTTCGGATTGACTGCGCGCCCCCTCCCGGTGTAGCCGTTAGCTCGGTGTCCGGTCGATGTTTTAGCGGCGGAGCGTGGACTGGAAGTGGGATGATAGTGTTGTAAACGTCGAGCCAGGCTTCAGCGACCGAGAGAGGACCAGCAGCCGCTCCGCCCCCGGGACAGAACAGGTAAGAAGCCCGGGCTAGCCGCTGACGTTAGCCGCGCCGCCGTCCTTGGATTAGACTCGGGCTAACAACATGGATGCTGCTGCTCTCACGCCTGCAGATTATCCGCTTTAACCTCGAGCTGAGCCCTCCGCCGGCCAGCTCCGGTTTAGGTGCCCGGTGTGAGGGGCTCGGGCGGACTCCCGGTCCTCGTTAGTGTTTGTTCAGATGTGACGTATCTAATCGAGGGGAGACGAACGGGATAAGTCCGGCTTTAGGGGCGGGGGAGGGGTGTGGGTCCGTCGGTTCTGATCAGAGGTCGCCGCCGTGTGGAGCAGGTGGGGTTACAGGTCGTGGGGTGCAGGTGGGTACTGGCCAACACCGTGAGCTGCACCTGTCCCCTCAGCAGGGGCGTAACCACGGTTTTTAAAAGGGGGCATGCGGGATGATGTTCCTGATCCTCTCAGGGTCTCTTCTTGGATATAACCGAGGATGTTTTTTGGCTCCCCCTGGTTACCATCAAGGTCAAATTAATTTTAACACCAGAGCTGTGTGCCCACTGGTGTTCTCCCCCTAAAGTTCCCTAAACTCACTCGTTTAGTTCAGGCTGATCCCAGAGGCTCAGAGTTAATAACAGGAAGTAAAACTGCTAGCAGGATGTGTTTTAGCTTTGGTTTATCAAGAAGATGAGACATCTCCAGGGTGATGTCACCACCAGCAGTGGTTGGTGATCAGTTATGAGCATATTATCACCTCATCCATCCTGGTGTTGTGGGTAGGGGGACGTGTCTGGCCTTAATGAGCTTTGAAATATAAATAATGGTGAAGCCTTACCTGTGCATGCTGTCAAACACCTGCGAGTATGAGCACACAGCTGAACAAACAGCAGGACATCCAAAACCTAACAGGAAGATTCATGCCTGACCGTGTTTCCTTCACTCCTGAATCCCAGGACCTTTTACTCCTTCTTGGACTGTTACTGGGATCTTTGGGCCCTTGGTGAAGTTCACACCATTACCTTTAGGCAACAAGCAGAGCTGAAGATGCTCAGGTGTTCACTGGGAGTGAGTACGATGAGTCCATCAAAGGGACAGCTCAGAGTCTGAGAAGTGATGCTTAGATGGTGCAGAGGAGGGAAGGTGGATATATTGGACAAATGATGATGAAGATGGAGCTGCCAGGCAGGAGGAGAAAAGGCAGGAGGTTCATGGATGTAGTGAAGGGTATGCGACAGAGGAGGATGCTGGGATCCGCTGTGAAACGAGGAGTCGTCGTGTCTATTACTGTGTTTCATCAGCAGGGACACAGATGGACTCTAATTGCTGCCTGGTCTCTGAGATATGATCTGCAGATCTGCCCGTCCCATTGGCCAGCTGCTGCGTGACCTCAGAGTCGGTGTGAGGCGTTTTCATCTGTTTATGTTTTAAATCTTTCATGACCTGCACACATCAGGGCTCCTAAAGTCAATTTTAACTGAGTCAGCTGGTCTCTGTTTGATGACTGATGATGACATCACTAGATCTGACACAAGTGGTCACGATGAGTCATGTGACTTTCATTCACATCGGATCACGTGATATCACAGCAGTTAGCGGTCAGCTGAGAGGAGCTGGATGTGGGGCTGTTATTGAATACCTGATAGGTGTGTTTAATATACTTTAGTGTGTAAGATGGATAAAAGGCATCGGAGCATCACATTTAAAAATAAAATTAACATATCTGTCAATGCTCATTGATAGCTGCCTCTTCTCCTGTGGTCCAGCCTGCGATCAGCTGTTCTGCAGCTTCCTGTCATGCAGTTTGAGCCACGAGGACCCTTAAAACCCTAAAATTATCCTCCAGCTGGGACCAGCTGGCAAAAGATGCAAACTCAGCAGCCTGCTGAGTGCTTTAAGGTGATACTGTGCAAAGGAGGTAACACCTCGAATCTGATGAAACATCTGGTGACGCATAGCCAAAAACCCGAAGAGGAGAGTCCTGGCCCCTAGCCCTGCCAGTGTAGCAGAAATGATGAGGATGATGATGCAGCAGCAGCCGTTCTTCTCTGCGTGAGTAGGCTAACCACGTTATTACATTAATGCATGTAAGGTGAACTAGCAAACGCCGTCGTAGCTACATGCGGCTGTCTTCTTGTTTGGTAGAGTGATAGAAAAGGCTAACATTGTTATCTTTTTACAAAAAAACAGCTAAACATGAGAGGTTTTAGGACAAAGTTTGTGTTTTCCATTCTTTAAGCACCGGGTCGAGCACCGTTTAAGCACCGGCACCGTTTCAAAAGTACTGGTTTGGCACCGGATAAAATTAAACGATACCCATCCCTAGATAGGCTTCATGCTGTCAGAGAGAAAACCAACCAATCAGACAACCTCCTGTGAGCAGCACTCGGTGACAGTGGGAAGAAAGAACCCCCTTTTAAAAGAAAGAGCCAGGCTCAGGCAGGGGAAAGATGCTCATTGTGCTGCTAGAAGGAAGGAAGTCAGATGCTGTGACGTTACGGAGTCACACAGTCCTGACTGCTAAAACCACAACTCAGGTTGTTTTAGCTCCTCACAAACACACCTGAGCTGTGCTTTTAAGGAGGTTTTTAAGATGAGTTACAGGGCACGGTATGAAGAGCTGCAGGTGGAAGCACAGGTGGAGTCTGGTTTGTTTTGTTTGAGAGAAGCTGTAAGTCACGTTTATGATCTGTAGGAATCATTTAAAACAGACTGTATGTGAAAGATGGACTTAGCAGCTGTGAGGTCAGCTGGTGTGAGCCAGCGATCTGAGCGTTTTCCCCGCTGCCATCTTTGGGGTTTTGAAATCGGGCGAGTGTTGCCACACGCTCATACAGTCATTGTCTAGCTCCGCCTCCCTGCATCCTCTGTTACTCTAACGGGCCGTAACCAAACATCAGTCAGAAACCAGCGACTGAGACCAGAGACTCCTCGGGAAGGTGTTCACTGAGCTCAGAGATCAAGCAGGGCTCTTTTTCTCACAGCCTTCTATCCAATCAGAGCAGAGGAGACACCCCCTGCTGGACATCCGAGCCAATCCAAGTTTAAGATTCTCCAGCAAGCACGCAGCAGTTTCAACATTACTGGATCACAGGGGGATATGACCTCAAACTGTGTGGGTGTTTCTTTAATCTCATAAAAGTGTGGATGAGGTCAGAGGTCACATGCTGTGATTAAACATTCACCTTTACTGCAGCGTCCTGATGAGAGACGTGACACAGACACGGCACTGGTTTGACTCATGATTGCGTCAGGCCATCCTATCGCAGGCAGTCGTGTGATTGCAGGTCATCTGACTGCAGGTGAACCTTCACCTTCCCTCCTCCTCTGGCGTCGCTCGCCCTGCCTTAGATCAGTTGCTTCTCCCTCCCCGTCTCTGCTGCCTGAGCGCAGGAGACGCTGTGAGAGTTTCAGAGCTGTTGTGTTAATTGTGTTGAGGCGTTGTTCATCTGGAGTGCTTTTTGATCGGACGAGCAGATCAGTGTGATCTCAGCTGCTGTGTGTCATTCATCATGCCGTTTACAGGAAACGCATGAAAATCGCTGAAAATGTGAAGTTCAGTCAGTCTGTGTGTTTCATTGGAGTGTGCAGAAAGCTGCTCTGATGCTTCCTGTGTGCAGCTCACTGATGAAGCTTCTGACTGCATGCTGATTGGACGTTAGCTCTCAGGTTTTACTGCCCCATGTTCATTTTTATTTTTGTTTAAATATTAGTGAAATTTAATTAACAGTGTTTTATATTATTTCTTTAAATCATTTTATCTGAAAAGTGTTTTGAGTGTCTTGAAATTATCCAGTGCCTCCCGTGCCCCCCTTTAGACTCACCCCTGTGTGCCTCCAGGTGAAACTCTTTGCTCTCTGCCGTGCGTGCTATGACATCATGGTCAGCTCGTATATGCTCGTACCTGATATTCACGTGCTGCTCAGCTGTGTTTCTACTCACTGATGTGGGAGAAACTGGCGCTTACGTGGATGAATTTGTGCAAATGAGAAAGCTGGAAGAGATTTCAGGCTCAGACGGCGAGAAGATGATGCTCTGTGGCTCGATCTGTAGGCGACACTCGCTGAACGAAGTGAACGCTCAGGCTCCCGACTCATGCAGCAGCTGTGTTTACTGAGTCAGCTGCAGCTGTCGATTACAGCCCTGTGTGTGTGTGAGCCAGTATGAATGAATTATACCGTCTGTTTGTCTCTGTGGTTTTCTTTACGAGGCCTCTTTTCACTGGTTTCACCCTCAGATGCATCCCCCGAGGTGACGTTTATCCACCTCACCTGCGAGCTGAGCTCCATCACTGCGGTCGTCCTGCTCTGCTCATTATTTCAGCTCCTTTAAGAACCTACACATCCAGAATGATCTGGTAACTACACATCTGTAATCTGAGGACAACTGAGGACTGTCTGACACATCAGAGCGGTCTTTCTAGAAGCATACACCTGAGAGGTCAAAGCCCCGCCCTCCAGAGAGCGCCTCCTGCCTTTGTCTCCTTCACCCATCAGATGCTCTGATTGTGGTTTTCTCGGCTCATTTAGCAAATATCACAAATTTTCTTCAGAGCAAAACGTTATTTTCTTAATAAAAGAAACTCTGATGTGCAGGTTGACTCACTGTAACGACTGAAGCCAGCGAGCTCTGTCTGTCAGGTAAAGCAGCTGCAGCACATTTATAGACCCACACAACTATCCGGTGCTGGCTTCATGACTTCACCTGGACTTCGACTCGTTTATCTCCTTATTTTCCTCCTGCCTGCTTTGACCCTTTCACTGCTCATACTGAGGCTCTGACCTCTGGGTAGCTTTAGCTTTAGCAGCTCTGCCTCTGTTAGCGTCTTGAAAACCTCCGTGTTTGTTTGGGGGGCACCCAGTGCACATACGTGACACGGACCCGCCTGAAAACGCTGGGAATCAGCTGATCAGAGGTTTTCTTTCTAACTCTGTGTAAGTGCTGTGAAAACACAATCATGAAGTCGATACCACTGTTTGGAAAAAAAAAAAACGGGGACTGACATCACTTCCTGTTTAGTTGGGTTCA